AGAGTGTTTGGTCGGGGGGACGGAATGTGCAGGAAGGAGAGGAAGCCCAGAGTGAAACAGGAGTGGGAAATGCCTTTTGGGAGACGGATGGAGATTTATTTGAGAGGGAGCCCCTTGAACTGGGCAGCAACTTCTTTTCTAACTTAACGTTACATTGAACTATTTTCTATTTAAAAACAAAAACAAAAGAAGACAAAAGCAAACAGCAACAAACAACCTTTAAACGAGCAGGCTTATTCATTTTAAGATTTGAAGCCACGAGCAGGTAAATAGATTTCACAACAGAATGTGGCTCATACTATGAATTCCATATGTCCAACGTCAAAATGGCGTTTTATCAAGACCACGCTAATGTCCAAGTTTTCTCTGTACCGAATTTCAGGTTTACTCGTCTGGAATTCCACAGAAATACATCTGATCACTAAAGCAACGACAGGTTGAATAACGGAACATATCGAGTCAGTTTAAGTGTGCATTGTGTCTTTAAGAGTAATTGGACTTGTATCATTTAAGGTGCCCTGATTTTTTTTTCCCCTTTACCTTCTTCTTCTTTCTCTCTCTCACGTTTTTTTTTATTTTTTATTTTTTTTGGCAGTGTTGATTTATTTTGTTAAATACATACCTCAAAAATTACCCATCAAGCTGCCAGATAGGAAGCCATAGAATTCAAAAAAAAATCAGGGATAAACACAGAAAATAAATAGGAATTCAAAAATAGTCACCCCACCCTGAGAGCAGGCCGAAGTTTATCAAAAAGCCAAAGCGACTCACTGGGAAGTGGTTTTTTTTTTTGTTTTTAATACATAAACAAGTCTCTTCTCCAAGAACTCATTTCACAGTCTCTTCTTTCCGGTTGTAAGGTTCTCTGTCCCATGCAATTTTCATATATATATGTAAATATATAGATATGTACATATACATATACACACACGTGTCGCTTCCTTCATGTGTCTCGTCTGTCTTTTCCTCCCGGGACTGGCCCCCTGGCTCTTCGATGAAGTGCAAGAACAGCAAAGGCAGAGTCTCCGGGGCCGGCATGACTGTGCTCCAGCCATGGTCCAAGTGTAACACTCGAGTGTCTTTGCCAAGGCGACCTCTGGTTGGGAAATACTGAACGTATTCACTCTACAGGTGTATCCTGGTTTACAAAGAAATGTCAAAAAAAAAAAAAAGGAAAGAAAAACCAAACAGACCAAAAAAAAAAAAAATAAAAGGCAAAAATAAAATAAAGCCAAAAAAAATTTTTTTTTTAAAAAAAGCAACGAGAACAGAAAATCCTTGGACCGATGTATTGCTGTGCCTGGTCGGGGTTCACATTATCTCTGGTCGCTGTCCGCAGGCGCGGCCTTGCCCTTGTCCGCGCCCTCCTCCTCCGCCTCCACCTTGAACATCTCCTCCGAGCCCTCCTCGCTGTCGTTCTCCTCCGACTCGGTCAGCAGCTCCTCGTCCTTGTACTCGGCCACGTCCACCGCGGCGCCCAGGTGCTCCTTGAGCTTGCCGTGGTGCTTCACGTGGTACCGCTGGTTCTGGAAGAACTTGATGATGGTGTGCTTGGGCAGGTCCAGCTGCGCCGAGAGCGTGTGGATGGCCTCCTGGTCGGGGTACAGGCCCACGTCATGGATGAAGCTCTGCAGGATCCCCAGGGCTTCCAAGGAGATCTTGGTGCGAGACCGGGGCTTTTTGGCACAACTGTCTTCTGCGGGCGGCGGCGGCGGCGGGGCCTCCTCGCGGGGAGGGGAGCTCTCCTTGGTCGCCTGGGCCTGCTGCCTGTGAAGGACCTGCTGGTTCAAAGGAAAAGGGAGTTAGCATGGGACTCGCCATGTGACCTTCGCCGAGGCATCGTCCTCTGCACGATGGGCTGTCCGTGCAGCCGGGGAGCGAGGCTGTGCTCGCCTGGACCCTCCAGCCTCCAGAAAACCAAAAGCACTGCTGGGGATGGAGACTCACATCTACAAGAGGTTAGTCAGAGCCCGGGCCTGGTGGCTCAGTGGTTGAACATCAACCTATGAACCGGGAAGGAGGTCATGGTGCGAATTCCAGTCGGCGTACATGCCGGGCTTTCGGGCTCCATCTCCAGCGTGGGGCGTGCAGGAAGCAGCCGATCAAAGGTTCTCTCTCATCATTGATGTTTCTCTCTCTCTCTCCCTTTCTCTCTGAAATCCCTAAAATGTTTTTTAAACAGAGGTTAGTCGTAGTGATGTTGGCAGATATTTACATTCTGAGGCACAAAGACGTTGGTCATAGTGGCCAAGGTCATTTGAATTCAGGCCACCTGGCTCCAGAGTCCTCCTTGCAGTTAGCCAGCATGATGTGCCTGCTGCCTCCCTGAGAGCCAATGGCAAAGAAACCGGACCCAGAGGAACATGTGGGCTCTGCAGTGACAACCCATGGGTTCGGGTCCAGGTGCTTCCACTTAGCGGGGTGTCTTCATGCAAGACCCTGACCATCGTTAAGCCCAATCTCATCCCCTATCACAGAAGGATGAGACTACCTTCCCAGGGATGTGGCAACAGGGAGTAAATGGCACAATGTGCATAGGAA